TATCAATTCTAGATTTAAAGCTTTCGTGACTGCTAGGATCCATACTCTTTGGTTCTATTCTTAAAGGTCGTGATCTAAGCGTGGCTTCTCCCACTCCAGCGCTGTCCTCCAGACAGTCTCGTCCCTTCACCTGATGAAGGCCGCTTGTGTTGTGGCCGAAACGTCGTGATTTTTTGTTATTTTATTTTCACCTACGTGACTTTACCCAATAGAACCAAAGAGTATGGATCCTAGCAGTCACGAAAGCTTTAAATCTAGAAACGCTTTATTTGACAAAATAATCTTTAAAAAAAATAGAGACAGAGCGTTGGAAACCAAAACCCTCCCTTGTTGGGAAATAAAATAAATTTAATGTGCGCAAAGGTGCTAGTTTGTTTCGGTCGTGTTGTTTTGGGACATCTGTAAGGGGAGGGGGGGTGGGGAGAGAGCTTTATAGCTCATCGAATTTCTCCGGTGTAAATATTATCATTCCCATTCTGATATTATGCGCTGCTGAGACCAAGACGCCGAGCGGACTTGTATTTTTTTTTAGAAAGAACGCGTGGAGTTAGTTAAACGATGAAACGACAGCGAATTATTATTATCATCTATAGAGGTCGTAATCACCACGTATACGCAACAACAACACCACACACACGTACACAATACGTTGACGCGATACCGTCTATACGATACGCAATGTACGCAACAGGTAAACGCACAACACCCGTGTGACACAGAGTGCACAACACGATGAGTTAGATCAAAGAGACGTGGTGGTGTTAGCGAGCACCTATTAAAGCCTGCGCCCCACGTGTATATATACACACACGTATACAAAGACAAAGATCCCCCGTATAACCTTTACAGACTGTAGGGGCAAGTGCTGTTAGCGAGCACCTATGAAGGCTGGAACGGTACACGAGGTGGTGGGTGGCCAGCACCACGCCCGACCGCCTTTGTCTCCCCAGTGGCGATGTTTACTACACACCGCACCAGGTACTCGTTTGAGGCTGAGTCGACCTAGGGGAGGCCCAGAACCGGTTCAGATAATCGTCACTGGGTGTTGGCCATGATCGGGAATCGAACTCGGATCGCCAATCTCGTAGCGCAGCGTAGCGCTAACCACTGCACCACCGCTCCCTACACACACAGACACACACGTGTACACACACACACGTGTACACACACATGCATTCTCACGCATACTCGCGCGCGCACACAATTTCCACGTGATGATGATGATGATGAGTCCACACTTCGTTTGAGCAATCATTTGTGATAGTCAGGTGGCTTCTGAAAGAAAGCTCCGACAAATAATATTTCGGTTTATCTCTCCAGGAAAGCCACGCTGAGTCGCCTTGGCACATTTTAAAAGAGGATCCTGCCGCATGCCGAAATTCTTTCATTTTTTTAATTCGTGAGATGTTTTCAGCCCATTAGTGACGACGTGTCCCGTGTACTAAACCCCACGCTTCGCGCGACAGAGCAAACACTCCATCCCCGTGCAGATGGGAAACAGATGGCGATTAGTCCAGTATGCTGCACTGCCTTCTCCTGTAAGGGGGGGGGGGGGGGTGCGTCTTATAATCCGGAGAATATGGGTACCGGTAATACTCGTGTTAAGGCTGAGTCGACCTGAGGGAGGGTCAGGCACCTCTGTTGAGAGGTTTCCGCTGATGCAAAACGGGTGCCGGGAATCAAACTCGGGTGGGCCCGGTTCGCTGCGTGGTGGTGTGCTAATCACTGCGCCACCGCTATTTCTCTTATCCTCCTACTCCTCCTCCCCACACGCGCATACTCACGCATAACCACACACGCACTCGCACGTACACTCACACATTCACACGCACACACGTACACTCCCACACGTACACTCGCACACGCGTACACACACGCGCACACTCTCACACACTCACACATTCACACAGGCGTGCACGCGTACAGACACACACACACGCGCGCGCGCACCCCACCTTTCACCACAACCCACAGCCACCACCACCACCACCCAACCACCAACCCACCACCAAGCATGCGAACCCAGGTTCGATTCCCGATGCGAGCTCAGAGCCAGCCGCAGCCTCCTGCTCCTCCTCGGCTGATGACCGCCCTGCTGCTGACGACGATGCTGCTGATGAGCGGTGTCGTGGAAGCGTCGTTCGCCTCGCTCCAGCAGCAGCAGCGGGCGAGGCAGCTGGTGGCGGAGCTGGAGGGCTCTCTGGCGGGGACGCTGGAGCTGATGGCTGGTGGCGGGAGCCCGGCGGAACAGCAGCAACAGCAGCATCAGCAGCAGCAGCACAGCGACTACGGGGTCAAGTTGTGCGGCCGGGAGTTCATCCGCGCCGTGATCTACACGTGCGGAGGCTCTCGGTGGAGGAGGGCCAGGCAGCCGTGGGTCGGTGCGGCTGAGAGCTGGGATGGTGAGAGAGACTTTTGACATTTAAACAACTTTTATTGCCGCCGGCAGCAACAGCAATGGAGGCGATTCCGATATGAAACACACAAAGTCACCAGCAACACAAATAAACGAACACGCTATAAATCCACGCGCTGTTGCGCTAAATGCACCGCGCGCAACGCGAAAGAAAAGTCACGTGGTGACGTGGTGACTTCTCTTTCGTGTTGTGCGCGCGAGAGAGATTGCAGAGAGAGAGAGGGGGGGGGAGTGCGAGAAGAGAGAAGGTGAGGAGGGAGAGAGTGGGAGAGCGAGGAGGGAGAGAGTGGGAGAGGGTGAGAAAGGGGGAGAGAGTGAATGAGAGACTAGGAGAGAGAGGATGGAGAGTGTGAGAGAGGTGGGAGAGTGCGGAGGGAGAGAGTGAGAGAGAGAGAGGGGAGAGTGAGTGGGAGAGTGCGGAGGGAGAGAGTGGGAGAGGGTGAGAAAGGGGGAGAGAGTGAATGAGAGAGAGTGGGAGAGGGTGAGAAAGGGGGAGATAGTGAATGAGAGACTAGGAGAGAGAGGATGGAGAGTGTGAGAGAGAGGGGAGAGTGAGTGGGAGAGTGCGGAGGGAGAGAGTGAGAGAGAGACTGAGTGTGAATGTGGAGTTTGGGGAGTTATCCCCACACCCTGTTCTGTTGTCAGTTGTACTCACACTCTCCTTCATAGGCGCTGCTGCTCATGCTGCTCGCTAACAGCACTTGCCCCGACAGTCTGTTAGAGGCTACACCGGGGATCTTTCTCTTTGTTTCCTTCATAGGTGCTGCTGCTACTCGCTAACAGCACTTGCCCCGACAGTCTTTTAGAGGCTGCACGGGGGATCTTTGTCTTTGTTGCGTGGAGTTTGTGTGTTCTACCCCTTGTTCTGCAGAGTGCAAAGTGTGTAGAGAGTGTGTGATGTGAGTAAGGGGGTAGTGTGGCCAACACTACGTCCGGCCACCTTTGTCTCCCCAGTGCTGATGTTTATTACACACCGCACCAGGTACTCATTTTAGGCTGAGTCGACCTAGGAGAGGCCCAGGTACTGGTTCACACAATCGTCACCGGTGGTGTTGGCCGTGAACGGGAATCGAACTCGGGTCGCCGGGTTGGTAGCGCAGCTGCGCTCACCGCTGCGCCACCGCCCCCCCGCCCCACACACACCCCCACCCCCCACGTACACACACCACACACACAGGCGCACGGACATTCACGCGTGGCTTAACATTAATCAACTCCTTTAGGTCAAGGTCAGAGGCGGGCGAGTGACTCACGCAGAGTCCAACGGTGTCCAGCGAGGTTGTCGCGCTCCGGGTCCAAGCCTCGCCTCGGCACGGCCGTGCGTGGGCTCCTTGATGAGCCGCGGCGGGAGAGACGCGAAGGGCAAACACCGCCGAGAGCCTTCAAGCCCCTGGCTCTCTCTGGCTGGCTCTTAGTCGATCTCGTGGGGTTCTATCGTGGCGTCCGCGGTGGGCAGGAGATGTTGACTACCTCGCCTGGTGTACAGGAGGCGCGTGGGCTCGATCCAGACCCTGACGGCACCTGCTGCTGCTGTATAGTTGGAGTCTGCGTGTCTCTCATCATCATCATCACGGTGGCTATGAGATGTTGACTACCTCGCCTGGTGTACAGGAGGTGCGTGGAGTCTGCGTGTCTCTCTCATCATCATCATCACGGTGGCTAGATGTTGACTACCTCGCCTGGTGTACAGGAGGTCGTGGAGTCTGCGTGTCTCTCTCATCATCATCATCACGGTGGCTATGAGATGTTGACTACCTCGCCTGGTGTACAGGAGGTGCGTGGGTTCGATCCCGACCCTGACGGCTCCTGCTGCTGCTGTATATTTGGAGTCTGCGTCTGTCTCTCTCTCCCCGGGTCCTCCGTTTTCTCCCTCCACACTCAGAACGAACAACATGCGCCTAAAACTATTTGGCTGCTGCTAATGATTCCCACGTGACGATGAGCCCACTTCGATAAACTATCATTCGTGACACAGCCAGCTCTGAAAAAAAGAGCTATATTGCAGCTAAGTGGGGCCTTACCTTTTGAAAATACAATTTTTTTTAAATGGGTTTAGTTAGTTTTAGGGCACTGAACCAAATGTTATTTTAATTATTCTCATAATTAGTTTTAAATAATGGCCGCATCATCGAGGCAGCACCGCTCAGATTCTGGAATTCATTTCCGGTTTTTTTGCCGCCGGCCGTGGTGCTGCTCCTCGCTACTAACAGCACTTGCCTCGACAGGCCGTTTAGAGGCTACACGGGGGATCTTTGTCTTTGTCTACTTCATAGGTGCTCCTGCTGCTCCTCGCTACTAACAGCACTTGCCCCAGCAGTCTGTTAGAGGCTACACGGAGGATATTTGTCTTTGTCTCCTTCATAGGTGCTGCTCCTCGCTACTAACAGCACTTGCCCCGACAGTCTGTGAGAGGCTACACGGGGGATCTTTGTCTTTGTCTACTTCATAGGCGCCGATACTCGCTAACAGCACTTGCCCCGACAGTCTGTTAGAGGCTACACGGGGGATCTTTGTCTTTGTCTACTTCATAGGTGCTGCTGCTGCTACCCGCTAACAGCACTTGCCCCGACAGTCTGTTAGAGGCTATACGGGGAATCTTTGTCTCCTTCATAGGTGCTGCTCCTCGCTACTAACAGCACTTGCCCCGACAGTCTGTGAGAGGCTACACGGGGGATCTTTGTCTTTGTCTCCTTCACAGGCGCTGCAGCTTCTCGCTAACAGCACTTGCCCCGACAGTCTGTTAAGGCGAATGTATTCAAATCTGAACTAAATGCCGATTTATTTGTCCAGGCATAATCTGGAGAAAAAAAGTGCATTCATATCACGGTCCAACCTGGCCCGTAACTTTTTTTGCCACTCCACCACCACCACCCCACCACCACCTCCTGTGAAGGTTCTCATAAATCCGGCGAAATGTTGGGACTGCGGCCTGTGGGGAGGGGGGGGTACGCAACTTATTGCTACTTATTTTCTCTGCGATGTTTTCTCGTCAAGTCCATTTGTCTTCTCTCTCTCTCGTTATTTACGTCTTCATATTTTTGGGAGTTTTTAATTTCAAGAATAGGTTTTCTCCCCATTTTTTCTGGCAACTTAACTGAAACCTTTTAATTTTTATGTACAAGGAATCACGTTACTGCATTAGCCACAATACTTGTGGTCAGAATGCAAACAAAGCACACGTAGGTGGAAACATTAAATAATACAAAAAATAATAAATCACGACGTTTCGATCGCAACACAAGCGGTCGTCCTCAGGCGGAACAAATAATCCAGCAAATACACATACTCTGATAATTAAGTTTTAATTTTGTTAAGTAAGTGTGTGGGGGGTGGGGGTGGGTGGATGCGGGTTTATTTGTCTATCGTCTGCGCATGGGGAACTCGGCGTTGTGAGACAGCAATCCCACGAACGACGCTGTCGAAAATGAAATCATCATCATCATCACCATCATCATCACCATCATCACGCGAGTGGGGGCTGCGTCTCTTTGTCGCGTGCTTGTTCCAGGGCTGTCCGACTCTGAGCTGGACCAGGACGAGGGAGTGGCGAGAGAATTGGGGGGGGCTGCCATCACGGGGGGGCCCCCCGAACCCCCCCCGTGGTGGATCTCGTCGCCGTCGATGAGTCGACAGAGGCGAGACTCGGCTGGCGGCATGGGGGGGGGCCCCGGGGGGGTCCCCCAAGCCATGGGGCTGGCGGGGCTCTGCTGCACGTGGGGATGCTCCAAGGGAGACATCAGCACCCTCTGCTGAACATCGGCACCATCGACAGGGACACCATCACCATCGCCATGGATATCACCATCATCACCATGGACACCATCATCATCAACATGGACATCAGCACCCGCTGCTGAACATCGGCACCATCAACATGGACACCATCATCGCCATGGATATCATCATCACCATGGACATCAGCACCCTCTGCTGAACATCGGCACCATCGACAGGGACACCATCATCGCCATGGACACCATCATCACCATGGACATCAGCACCCTCTGCTGAACATCATCACCATCGCCATGGACACCATCATCACCATGGACATCATCACCATCAACATGGACATCAGCACCCTCTGCTGAACATCGTCACCATCGCCATGGACATCATCAACATGGACATCATCACCATGGACATCATCATCATCGTCAGGGACATCATCACCATCACCATAGAGATCTTCATCGTCAGGGACATCATCACCATGGACATCACCACCATCACCATGGACATCATCACCATGGGCATCATCATCGCCAGGGACATCATCAGCACCCTCTGCTGAACATCGTCACCATCGCCATGGACATCATCACCATGGACATCATCACCATCAACATGGACATCGTCACCATCACCATAGACATCATCATCGTCAGGGACATCATCACCATCACCATGGACATCATCATCATCGCCGGGACCATCATCATTACCATGAACATCACCATCATCATGGCTACCACCATCATCATCATCAGGGTCGTCCATAGTAGGGGCCCCGGGGCCAATCTCCACTGTGCCCCCCCCCACCCCCGGACGCCTTCAAACTAAACCGCTCCCCGCCCCCCAAAGCGCCGGGCCCAGGGCAGTCGCCCCGATTCGCCGTCCCCTATCCCTAGGCGACGGCTTTGATGATGCTCATCATCATCATCCTCCTCCTCCTCGTCATCGTCGTCGTAATCACTCGATATTTGTCGGCTGTGTTTGGAGAGCGGGGGATCTTTGATCGGCTGCCGGCGTCGGGCACTAAAAGCCGCGAGCGTACGAGCGAGGTCACGCGGTTGTATCCGTGGACACTCCTCGAACGAATAAAAATGAACCATATGGCATAAACTGCGTCGCGAAGTCGTTTTACGTCTGTTGAAGGCGAACGACACGGCAATCTATTCCTCTCGGCGAGCTCTACACGATGCGCTAACTAAAACTTTCAAAGTTATGTTCACGACAACGGAAACTTTTGGCAACGGCGTGTGCTCGGTGATGGACGAGAGAGGATCGATGTCTGGTGGGTCGCGGCGTTGATGTGCGCGGTGGGACGGAGTCGCCAACACAAATAAATTGCTCAATTGCGATTTTGACTTCCGTTTATTCGGGAGTCCCGCCATGAGGTTCACTTATTGTCGTTCTCTCCCCAGCCTCCTCCACGCGCCTCACCCGGTCCCCGCTATCTATGATCCTGTGAAGAAGAAGAAGTTTTACCCGGGGGTTTTTTTTGGGGGGTTAAAATAAAACATTCTGAGGACACAAAAAAACCTACAAGGTGGGGGGGGGGGATGTGTGGCCCTTGCGGAAACATCGGGAGATGTTGACTACCTCGCCAGGTGTACAGGAGGTCGTGGGTTCGATCCCGACACTGACGATGCCTGCTGCTGCTCTATATTTGGAGTCTGCGTGTCTCTCGCTCTCATCATCATCATGGTGGCTAGGAGATGTTGACTACCTCGCCTGGTATGCAGGAGGTCGTGGGTTCAATCCCGACACTGTCGATGCCTGCTGCTGCTGTGTATTTGGAGTTTGCGTGTATATCTATAAACAAAGACACAGATCCCCCGTATAGTCTTAACAGTGCTGTTAGCGAGTAGCAGCAGCAGCGCCTCTGAAGGCCGGCACGGCGCACGAGATGGGGGTGGGTGGCCAGCACCACGCCCGGCCGCCTTTGTCTCCCCTAGCGGCGACGTTCACTACACACCGCAACAGGTTACTCATTTGAGGCTGAGTCGACCTAGGGGAGGAGGGCCCAGGAACCGGTTCCAAATAATCGTCACCGTGGTGTTGGCGGCCTTGAGCGGGAATCGAACCCGGGTCGTAGCCAGGTTCACAGCGCAGCGTAGCGCTGCAGGCTACACTACCGCTGCACGCGGCATAAATATTTATATTTTACACACACAGATGATGTGGTGTGCCGGGAAGATGGACGTACCAATCATTCGGCTCTGCAGCTAGGCGATAGACGCGACTGAGGGAGCCAGCCGCGGTCCGCATCAACTAAAACTAAATTATATTTCTAAGTTTACGGGGTCTGTTTTCTCTTTCATGTGTACCTGATGACGATTGCTCGTGTTGCAATCGAAACGTCGCATGCTATTATTTAATTTATTACTTTCTCTTTCTACGTGACTCTTACCGAAAGAACCAGAGAGTAATTCCTGCAGTCACGAAAGCTCCAAATCAAGTTTAAAACTACAACTTTTTTACTTGACCAGGTGACCCCCCCCACCACCACTGAGCCGCTACCTGTAAGGGGGTAGCTCTTGTTCAGAAGCGGCCCGGCTATCAGAAATGACAGCTCGGCGGAAATTGGCGGCTCAACGTCGTCGCCGTGTAGATGCTTCTATCGGCGGCCAAATAACTCCACACGCGCGACGTCGATTCGAAGCGTGGAGGGGAAAAACACGGGGAGGACCCCGGAGAGAAATCCACGCGGCGAGAGAGACACGCAGAGTCCACCACATGTACAGGAGGCGTCAGGGTAGTGATCGAACCCACGACCTCCTGTATACCAGGCGAGGTAGTTAACATCTCACCACAGGTAGAGAGAGACACACACAGCCGGTACAATAGTTACGCGTTGCTGACGCTGCTGCTGAGTGAAGTCCTCGTTTAACGCGGTAGACGCGTTCCTGAAAATTGGCGCGTTCAGCGAAAACGATTTCCACCACCACCACTACCACCATCACTACCACCACTACTACCACCATCACTACCACCACCACTACCACCACTACCACCACCACTCCCACCATCACTACCACCACTACCACCATCACTACCACCATCACTACCACCACTACCACCACTACCACCACCACTCCCACCATCACTACCACCACCACTACCACCATCACTACCACCATCACTACCACCACTACCATCACTACCACCATCACTACCACCACTACCACTATCACTACCACCACTACCACCACTACCACCACCACTACCACCACCACTACCATCACTACCACCATCACTACCACTACCACCATCACTACCACCACTACCACCACCATCACTACCACCACCACCACCACAACTACCACCACTACCACCATCACTACCACCATGACTACCACCATCACTACCATCACTACCACCATCACTACCACCACTACCACCATCACTACCACCACTACCACCACCACTACCACCATCACCACCACTATCACCATCACTACCACCATCACTACCACCACCACTACCACCACTACCACCACCACTACCACCATCACTACCACCACTACCACCACAACTACCACCACTACCACCATGACTACCACCATCACTACCACCACCACTACCATCACTACCACCATCACTACCACCACTACCACCATCACTACCACCACTACCACCACCACTACCACCATCACTACGTCACCATCACTACGTCACGTGTCGCCGCACCGCTCAGCCGCGCAGCTCGAGAAAGTAGTTCGTCGTCGAGGCGCTCGTAAAACCGCGTTATAACGGGGGGGGGGTGGGTGTGGGGGTGCGTTCCGCGTTATAACGGGGGGGGGTGGGGGTGTGTTCCGTGTTATAACGGGGGGGGGGGGAGCATCGAGTTTCCGCGCGGTGCGAAAAGTGTCCCCTATAGGTGGCGGAACCGCGTCGTGGCGAAGACGCGTTGGGAGCACGAACACAGGCGAGGAACTCTCTCCACGTGCTTGATGTGGTGTGCCGGGTGCGGGAGGCTCGGCGGGCGGGGGGGGGGGAGCAGAGGGTGGGGGGCTCTGGGTGGGGGGCAGACCCCCCCACCGCATGAATCATGGTCACCGTCTCATCCCTTCGTAGACGTCTCCTCCTCCTCGTTTATTTCTACACGCAGCGAAACCTGGATCCTGCTGCACTTCACCTCGCCAGGGTCGGTCGGTTTCGCTTTGTTGCTCAACAAAAACAATGGATTTAGTAATGAATAAATACATCAATCAATACAAAAAAAACCCCGACGCAATCGTCCACCCTTAGCGTTCTTTAAAGCTGCGTGCTCACTTTGGTGTGTACGTGTTAAGGAGGAATCAAGTTTTATTTGAAGCTTTCGTGACTGCAGGAGTCCATACTCTTTGGTTCTTTCGGTAAAGTCACGTAGGTATAATATAAAATAAATCACGATTTATTTTATTTTATACCAAAGTATGGAGGAATCAAGTTTGGGTCCACGCGCGCGCATTTGTAGCGGTTAGCGCTACGCTGCGCTATGAACCCAGAAACCCGGGTTCGATTCCCGCTCCCGGCCAACACCCAGTGACGATTGTCTGAACCGGTCCCGGGCCTCCCCTAGGTCGACTCAGCCTCAAATTAGCAACCTGATGCAGTGTTTCAACATCGCCACTGGGGAGACAAAGACGGTCGGGCGTGGTGCTGGCCACCCACCTCCTCGTGTACCGTTCCGGCCTTCATAGGTGCTCGCTAACAGCACTTGCCCCTACAGTCTGTTAAGGCTATACGGGGGATCTTTGTGTTTTTTTGTGTGTTACCGCTGCGGGTCAGCACTGCGGCGACCCGAGTTCGATTCCCGCTCACGGCCAACACCACCGGTGACGATTATCCGAACCGGTCCCGGGCCTCCCCTAGGTCGTCTCAAGCCTTAAATGAGTACTTGGTGCGGTGTGTAGTAAAACATCGCCATTGGGGAGACAAAGGCGGCCGGGCGTGTGCCACAGTGCCGGCATTCACATGTGCTCGCTAACAGCACTTGCCCCAACAGTCTGTTGAGGCTATACGGGGGGGGGGGGGGGGGGAGAGGATTTCGTCTTTGTGGTTGGTGGAGCAGAGTGGTGTATCTTTTCATTGATTTCATTTCATGTATTTGGTATAGCCCTGTGAGCCATGCGGCTCTTGACTCGGGTGCAACCGCAACAAACAAAAACATGAACAAGGAGCGCAACAGAACAATTCAGGAAAAAAACTGCAAAAACCTTTCAGTCATCTCAGTCAGTCAACCCCATGGCACCTGGGTCTGTCCCGTGACCTCCTGCCGACAGCGGGCGTTCAACACTTCACGTGGCCTTAAAGTGCACTTAGCCTGGCACGAGCGCCGTGGTGACGTCATCGTCTCTTAGTGGACAATGACGTGTATCGGTACCGGTGGTACAAAAACGAAAGATTCCCCCGTGTAGCCTCTAACAGACTGTTGGGGCAAGTGCTGTTAGCGAGTAGTAGCTGCACCTATGAAGGAGACAAAGACAAAGATCCCCCGTGTAGCCTCTAACAGACTGTCGGGGCAAGTGCCGTTAGCGAGTAGCAGCAGCGCCTATGAAGGAGACAAAGATCCCCCGTGAAGCCTCTAAAAGACTGTTGGGGCAAATGCTGTTAGCGAGTAGCAGCACCTATGAAGGCCGGCACGGCACACGAGTGCGGGGTTGGGTGGCCAAACACCACGTCCGGCCGCCTTTGTCTCCCCAGTGGCATTCTATACACACCGCACCAGGTACTCAATTGAGGATGAGTCGACCTAGGTGAGGCCAATGATATGTTCAGATAATTTGTCACTGGTGTTGGCCGCGAGCGGGAATCGAACTCGGGTCCGCCGGGTTCGTAGCGCGGCACGCTGTAGCCGCTATACCACAACCGGCGCGCCTGTACTACACCCGCACTTAACCATCGCGGCACACGTACTCTCATACCTGTCAACCCCTTATCAGTGGCCTACCTTATTGCAGACCAATTCAGACATTATTGGTCGCCACTATACACTACACTATACACTACTATACACTACACTAATAAATCTCAACGTCCATCTTTTCCACTACACTATACACTACACTACTATACACTACACTAATAAATCTCAACGTCCATCCTTTCCACTATACTATACACTACACTACTATACACTACACTAATACATCTCAACGTCCATCCTTTCCACTACACTATACACTACACTACTATACACTACACTAATAAATCTCAACGTCCATCCTTTCCACTATACACTACACTACTATACACTACACTAATAAATCTCAACGTCCATCCTTTCCACTATACACTACACAACTATACACTACACTAATACATCTCAACGTCCATCCTTTCCACTATACTATACACTACACTACTATACACT